CGCTGAAGAAAATCATATTTAGAACCATGTTGACTAGATCCTTTGGAAGATACTGAGGAAAGAAAGAGAACGAGTGAGGGAAAGGAGAGGGAGAAAGAGAATGAGAAAATCTCTACGAATATACATATAAACAGGAGAGGGTGTGGCTCAAAACTTAATTAATTTTTATTTATTAGTACCTTGAAGATCATGTATAGACTAAATAATGCGACACTGGCGTAAATCGGAAACATGGCCGCCTCTCTCATACGAATACGCTCCTCGGCTTGTTCTCCTTTTTTCTATAAACACAACAGAATATCACGTGATGGTCACGTGCTACATGATTCCCAAACCTTTAAGTTGTAATGATAAACAACAGAACGGAGTGAGCCTATAAATATAGGGACCAGGGCCATTGCGAATAGGAATATATAAGCCGTGGCTAGTCCTTCCCTCGAGGCTGCTTCTCTTCCCGAGACATTAGAGGCCAGGCTCTCGTTATTCTCGGTTTCATTGTAGACAATAGAGTCAGTGTCAGCCATTGTGGTGCGATTGAGCAATATAGGCGTGGTCAAAACTGGTTATTAATGTTTATTAATAAAGTGGCTATAAATAGAGTTAGAGAAAGAGCAGGAGAAGTTAGTCAAGGAGCAGTAAGTAACTGCAGTTGAATCCTAGGAGTGAGTCCCTGGCAGGAGCTAATTGCAGTATTTGGCTGTTAGTCTGGCCACTCATGGGCCATGGCATATCGTGGCCGTTCATTTATGGCTTGATCTACATTTGCACTGAGGCTGCATCCTGACTCTGACCTGGTCTGCGGGGCCCCTGCGAGACGTTAACTGTGACCATGCTGTAGGTCACAGCATGTAGTATCTATGGTTACAGCCTCAACACTTGTAGCCCAACAAAATGTGATTGATATGATAGCTAGGAACAGGCTAGTTTCGCCAAGCTAAAAAGTGGGGGAATCCGGCTGATCTGTGCCTTGGATAGCTGTGACCGTGCTGTAGGTCACAGCTTAGACAATGGAACATCTGTGTGGCTTGTGCAACAAGCCTGAATGAAAAAGTTTTTGGCTTGTTTTTTAAACTTGGGCAAGCTTGTAGTTTTCTAATAGGCTTGAAAACATTAACACAGTCTCCATCTGCTCCAAGAATGTATACATCATCTTCCCTGTGAGATGATATACAAAATACGAAAGAGTCATACCCAGTGTGGTCAATATGCCATGGGTCCCTGCGAGATGTTAACTGTGACCGTGCTGTAGGTCACAGCCTCAACAAGTGAAGCCCCCAGCTCACAACAAAGAGGCTGCTACTACTGTGACGAACCAGGAACCCTCATCATGAGTGGGGAATGAGGCTGTGACCGTGCTGTAGGTCACAGCCTCAAGACATGCAGCCCAACCTAATGTCAATGCTACATGATGAATAGCCAGTAAAAGGCTAATGAGTGGGAAATGTGACCATGCTATAGGTCACAGCAACCGTTATCTCTTTGATTTTGATGGATTGGTTGATCCATCAAATACAGGGTAAGGGTTAGCTTGCCGCCTAGATACATTATGAGATGATAACCCAGTTGTACGAAGTGTAGCGACAACAGTGAGGGACTCATGGCCTGGAATATGATGAACTGCACTTTGTGAAGTCTGGGAAAAAGAAAGAAAAAGGGATATGTCCCCTACAGATCAAGATCAGGAAATTGCAAGATCAACCTGCAACGAGAATCGCCTTAGCACACCCTTCAGCTAATTCTCTCACTGTAAAAAAAAGTTAAATCAGTCACTAACATGTATTATTATGTTAACCTACACATTCCGGGGCATTTCATTAACAGTCTTCTGATTTCTTTTTGTGACTAAAATGTTCATTACTATAATCACTTAATCCCATGGTAACTGATCTACATTTGCAGACTGCAGCCTGGTCAGCTGTGACTGTGCTATAGGTCACAGCGTCAACACTTCACAAACCAAGAGCCCTCATCAGTGGAGATGTCTGTGGGTTAACTATGACCGTGCTGTAGGTCACAGCTCCATTGGCCAACTGTTAGTAAGACCGTACTGTAGGTTGCAGTAAACCGTGCTGTAGGTTTCAGCCTTCATGGTATCAGAGACATACTGAAGCTGTGGGACTCCAAATCTGGAAAATAGAAATATAATTTTAATTTTGAATAATGAATTGTTTTATAACATGTTTAAATGTTATAATAATTATTAAAATTCATGTCCCTACCTCAAGTCAAGGTCTGAGCGATCCCAATGCTGAAAAAATCATACATAATTGTTTTTAAAAACCGTGTTGAATAGATTATCCTTTTTAAAGAAAAAAGAGAGAATATGAAAAGGTTATATATGTACAAACCAAGTATAAATGCAATGCTGGCATAAATGAAAAACATAACTGCCTCTCTCATACAAATGATATTATGCTCCAAGCTTGGACTGCTCTACATGCATCACGTGATCTCAATCTTTACCCATTATGACTAGCTGTGGCCAATCCTTTCCAAGAGGTTGCTGCTCTAAGACTCTCCTCCGTTTAATTGCATACAATTTTGTACAAAAAAGAATCTGTCATTAGTGTTGAATGGTCAGCTGGAGCAAAGATCAGCCATTGTAGCTAGCTGCTGAACAAACTGGGTGTAGCTCATTAATTGCAACATGTTTGGATAAAAATGAATTTAATAATAAACAGATAAGCTAGACTAAAAATAATTGAAATAGGCAAAAATAATGAGAAAAAAAATACAAACATCAATCATCAATATCAATATTAAAATCAAGTCCCAGTTCATTCTGAATTACTTCAATCCAGTCCTCACCTAAAGCTATTGCTGCATCAGCATAACTGCCTCTTACAGCAATGAATGAGTTTAGAAACTTTTGACAGTGCTCCTCCACTTTAGGTAACTTCCTCTTGAAACTAAGACTAGACTTGAACTCATCAATGCACTCTTCCATTAAAGGAGCTTCTCTAACTTCATTACTAATAAGCTTAGCTGTGTACAACTGATTGACAAG